GCCTTTAATCCCAGCACTCGGGAGGCAGAGCCAGGATCTCTGTGAGTTTCAGGCCAGCCTGGTCTACAGAGAGAGATCCAGGACAGGCACCAAAACTGCACAGAGAAACCCTGTCTGGGGGGGAGGGGACGACGACAGGACACGACAACTTCAGTCAAGTCAAAGTGAGGGTTTGGGGCTAAGCATGTCACCCAGTGGTGCACTTGCCCGGCATACATATGGCCTTTGGATTCAATCCCTGGTGTGCCTCCTATTGAAATAATTTGTTTAACTACAGATACTTTTCTTCCACCCAGATTGTCAAGCAAATAATCAGAAAAAAAAAAATACTAGCATTTGCACTATCATAAAATTTCAAATCCAACCCTTATGAATACACATCATAGTCACAAGATACTTAATATATCTGTGATTATAATTTCATAAAAAGATTAAAATATCTACAGCATACCTAATACAATATAATTCCTAGCCAGATACGGTGGTTCATGTCTATAATACCAGCATTTAGGAGGACAAGACCAACCTAAAGGGCTGGAGTTAGGAGCAGTTAGGAGCACTTATAAATAATAAACTTTTTTAAATAAATAATAAAATTTAAAAAGACCAACCTAGATTATACTGTGAGTTCCAGGATAGCCTGGGCTATACGATGGCTATACAATGAGATTCTATTTTTTTTTTTTTTTAAAAAGAAAGCCAGGCAGTGGTGGCACACGCCTTTAATCCTAGCACTCGGTGGGAGGCAGAGGAAGGTGGATCACTGAGTTTGAGGCCAACCTGCTCTACAAAGTGAGCAGCTTGGGCTGTTCCAGGACAGCCAGGGCTGTTACAAAGGAAAGCCTTACCTTGGAAAACAACAAACAAACAAACCACATTACTTCCAGATGAATTAATGAACTATCATTAAGATGTTTTCTCTTTATACTTACTTATGTTTTGCCATGCTGAAGACTAAACCCAGGACCTTGCAAATACTAGCCAAGCACTCTAACATGAGCTACTTGCCCTTTCTCTTTAAAGACAAGGTCTCCCTCTATAATCTCAACTGGCCTCAAGCTCTCCATCCTCTTGCCTCAGCTTTCAGAGTGCTAGGATTTCAGGTATACTGTATTCTCTTCTTTATAAAAAGTATTCTTCCCTAATTTTGCAGTTAGGAAATCTGTACTGTAAAGTAAATTTTCACTGGGAAACACACACACACACACACACACACACACACACACACACACACACACACACACACACCGAGCTCCTA